ATATGTGGGGAAGGTGGGGTGAGGAGCAGGAAACACTAGCGTTCCTAATCAGACATCTGGGTACTATGACAATAAAAACATTTCAGTGTTACACTAGTAAGACAGATACTCCATGAGCAGGCAACCAGAATACGGTGTGTGTAGAGGAGGAGAGTGAAGACAATAGGTCTATGCAGCTGCTTGGCTAACTTAGTTCCCACATCTTGAGCCTCCGTTACAACAGGGAAAGCAGGGGAAGTGTTTGTTTTACATTTATGGCTATAGTTTTAGAAAGCTTCATTGAAGAAGTATATTTCAAGAAAGAACTTGGAGAAGGCGGAGGAGAATGGTTGTGCTGGGAAGATAGTTCTAGGCATGCCAGTCACGTGAATTGATGGTGGATATGTCAGAAGTGGCTGGTCAGAGAAGCAAAACTAAAAAATGTCTTGGAAAAAAAAATTAAATGCAATGGTCTCCAAAGAGGGCAGACGACAAAACTTGGGGAAGTGCAGGCCAGTATAATAAGTAAAATTAAATGCTGAGACCTAAAAAAACAAAAGGTCATTCTCTCAGCAACATAAAAGCTGCTGATCCACAAACATTGCAGCAAGAAACATGTCTTGGGAACAAGCATTCATTTTATTAGCTGTATGCATCAAGTGTGCCTATCTCTAGCCCAAACTGCTCCTTGCATGGTGCGGAATCCCTTATCTAAATGACTGACATCCCTGTGACTTTATTCATTTTTGTATACAATTTTAAAATTCCCATTTTTAAAATTTAAATGCTGCAGTAGAATTTGTATTGCATCTTACCAGAATGCAGATTTTGAAGTCCTCCTAGTATCTGTTTGCTAGAAGATGGGAATGGGTGACGGCTCACTTGATGATTGCCCTGTTTGGTTCATTTCCTCTGAAGAATATGGCATTGGCCACTGTTGGAAGATACCAAGGTAGATGGACCATTGGCCTAATCAGTCTGGTCATTCTTATGTTCTCTTTGCAAAATATAGCTCCAGTTTGCTTCAGGTAGAGGGGATCTTGGTCCTGGTTTTGCTGTTGCGTAATGGATATACTTGTAAATCCCTCTCCAAAATCAGAAAACCTAATATTTGGAGAATGGGAGAATTAGGTCTATGAAATACTTTGGGAGAGATTAAATAACACTTAGGAGGAAATATATTAAAAGATATATTAAGTCCCAATAAACATCCATCATCAAGTGTGGGGAGTCTCTCTGAGGCAGATGTTCTGTCATGAATTATTGTTTGTATCAGAGTCAAGTTACTCTAGTGGTTACCATAAGTTTGTTCTTCCCAAATGAAACCAGATGTTGAGTGTGAAAGTCTGGTAGATGAAGAGGATAGCATAAAATGAGGGCAAGACTATTTGTTTACCAGTCAAAAATGAATGTTCTGAGGATTAGATAATGTTTGTACATTGCTTAGAATTTAGGTAGCAATTTAAATAATCAAAAGTATCAAACTCTCATCAGTAGGTTTTTTCAAGTATTTAAACTGTCAGTTGGAGGCATCATTCCTGAAAGTGCTTAGTACCCTCAATGCTAACACTTTACAAGGGATTTCCTTTCAACCAAAACATTAAAACATACAAATGAAGGCCATTTACAACATCAGAGAAAACAATAGATAAAGAAAGAGTAAAGCTAGTGGGATGAGAGACAGCAAGGGAGATACAATTATTTTCAGTATTTCCACAGCGATTTGTAGGGGTGGCTAGAAATCCTACCCACCAATGGAGAATTTTTGGATAGGTTATCATGGTGCTTCATGGGAGTTGTAGTTCAGATAACTCATGTCCCCATTCTCCTCTCTAAGCCTCCTTAGCTATGCTACATCTGCCAAGATACGCTGCAGTCTCCCATCTTCCTGATCTACTGACATGTATCATGGGAAACGTACTCTGGCTGGGAAATCCAATTCATTTGAGGAGAGTGATGAACAACTTCCATAAGATATTACATTGGCATTTCCAAATAGAAAAGGTTCAAGTTTTGGCCAGAAATCAAATACATTTCAGCTTTGGGCCATTTGGTTATTCAATTAAAAGTTGAAATTTTCCACAAAAAGACAACTTTCACAAAAAGTTTGGATTTAGTCAAAAAGCCCATTTTCTGATGGAAAAAACTTTCAACAGACAACTTACCACCAACCCAAGCAATTATAGTCCCCCCCCCCAAAAAAAACATTAAGATACTGGTATATTGAGCAAATAGACCAATAATTTAGGGTAAAAATCATTACAATTATGTAATTATAACAAAATCAAACATGATCAATACAGAGTTAAGGTTAAACAAATCCAAATATGCTAAAGAATGACTTTGGGTGCTTATTTGAGATGATCTGGCACTTTAAAGGGGTCTGTGATACAGAAAGAGCTGAACACCTATGCTCTGGAAAAAAAAATCAAAATTGAGACTAAAAAAATCACTAACAACTTTTGAAATTCTTGAGCTTTATATATTTTACACACATATATAGTTTGCACATTCATATAATACATGAAATGCTATGTTGAAAACATTAAGGTTGAAAAGTCAATCACTCAAAAGTTAGGAAATGTCAGAATTAACATTACCTTGAAACTTTAATTCACTCTCTTGTGCATATGCACATTATGGTCTTTAATTACATGATCACGGTGACAGGTTGGATCACAAAGATCACCTTGAGACTGTCATCTTATGGGCTGATTGTATCACTGAGCCAGCCCATCTGTGCTGTTGAGCCAGAAGCTCTGGTGACCCACAGCAAAGGCACAGAGTTGGGATAACAGCCCCCAGCAGAGTCACACAAACATAGAAAGCAGCTCAGCTCTGGGAGGTCTCAGTTATAGGGACTTTATAGCACTCAGAAGCACATCCCCAAATAGGACTAACCTTCCCCCACCCCTTCAATAAATCCATATTACTCCATATGAAAGTTTTACACAGAGAAAAAAATCATAAAGTTTGCTCTTTATCAATGACAGAAATATGCACAGCTCTTGTCATCCCTCTCCCCCTCCGGTAACAATTTACACTGGGTTTGATAGTAAAGTGATTTTATTAAGTATAAAAAGTGGGAGTCAAGTGGTTGCAAATAGTGAGAGCCAGATCAAAGTAAGTTACTAAATTAAAACAAACAAAAACACACCAGCTAAGCCTAATACACTAAGGCTACGTCTAGACTGCAAGCCTCTTTCGAAAGAGGCTTTTTCGAAAGATACTTTGGAAAGAGCTTCTTTTGAAAAAGAGCATCTAGACTACAATCAGTACTTTCGAAAAAGCAAGCTGCTTTTTCAAAAGAGAGCACCCAGGCAATCTGGATGCTCTCTTTTGAAAAAGCACAGTTTGCATTACATAGTGCCTTTTTTCAAAAGAGCACTTTTGAAAAAAGGTGTTATTCCTCAGGAAATGAGGAGTACCATCATCGAAAGAAAAGCCGCATTCTTTCGATTTAATTTCGAAAGAACGCGGCTGTAGTCTAGACGCAGGTGAAGTTTTTTAGAAAAAAGGCTACTTTTTTCGAAAAAACCCTGCAGTATAAACACAGGCTTGGAGAAATGATTACAAAATCTGTTTCTCACCCTAGTTCTAATTTCAGGCAAAGTTCTTCAGGTCAGAGATGTTCTTTTTCCTGACGGGTCTAACAGCTTCTCCCCTCATTAGAGTTCTTTTCTTTTAGGTCCTTTCAGGTGTCCTCTTGAGGACTGGAAGAACAAAGAAATTAGGCACTCACAAATTTTGGGTTCCTAATGTCACACACCTAGAAACTGGTTAAGTAGTGCTCAGCACTCCTGCAAATGAGCTCCTCCCTCTCCCCCCCCCCAGTATAAAGTGAAACACACATAAAATGAGGAACATACAGTTAATGACCACCTCTGAAAATGTCTGATTTAAGGGACTTAGCTAGCATCACACAGGTACAGTGTGGCAGAGTCAAGGTTAGAATCCAATTTTCCAGAGCAGCATTCGACTGCCTTAACTATGAGACCATATTTTCTTCTTTCTGCATCTCCTGACTTGTTCACTACACAGCTTCCATCTTACACAATAAATAAAGCAAGGGTTCAAACAACAGTGACTTCACTACACAAACTTGATCCATCCCTAAAGCAGGTCTGCCTTGTGTACTGAAGGAGGTGGGGGATCTGTGGGGGAAAATAGTATATCACATAACTGAAGTAGATATAATGCACATGGGCAATCTCAATTCTTGTACAGTATTTCCTAACTTTTTAGTACTTGAATTTTCAACCTTCATGTTCTTTTAACATTTCTTTCCTGTGAAACAATTCAATTTCTATAATAGCAAACTGAAAAACACAGGAATTCCATCAAGTAGCATCTTATTGACACTTACATGGCTCATCAGCTGGGTTCAACTCTTTAGATCCAAGGCACAGACTTCTGCTGAGATTTTGAGCAAAGGGAAAAAAAGGCAGCTAGAATGGTTGTCTTCCTCTGTGTGGATCCACACTAATAGAGGATGGGATACACATTTTGCCACTGTGTTTCACAGATATTTGCTCGTAACAGAGGAATGACTCTGACATCTTGGGTCCCACCCCAGGATCTAGTGAGAGTATGCTTTAATTAAACACAGATTTTTTGTCCATGTCTCTCAATTTCAGGGGAGCTGACAGCCACTGCAGGTTCCTAGACAAGGAGGGAGGGCTGGCTCCATGCTTCTGGAAGGGGTGGGGGCTCAGGTGGAAGGGGCTGGACTGGGAGCAGCCAGTCTTCCTCACCACCAAGGGCTGCACAGAGCATATAGGACAACACTCTGGTGGCAATTAAAAGGGCCTGGGATGCCAGCCTTTGAATCGCCAGGTCCCAGGGCAACTATACCTTTTCTTCCCCTCCCTTATCAGCAGGACTGTCCAATTCTGACCCTTTTTATTCTATCCCCTCCTATTGCCCCTGTCTTAGGTTTGTCTGTCCCCCCACCCCCAACAGCGTCCTGTCCCAGTCTACCCTAATCTCCTCCATCCAGTCTCTTGTTCTCCCTTCTCCAATACCAGTCTTTTTGTCCAGCCAATTCCATTTCTGACTAGCTGCCCACCCTACTTTTCCTTCCCACTAATTCCTGATTCCAGTCTCTCTGACCAGCCACCACCAGTTTTCTCCCTTACCAATTCTTTCCTGTAGTCCTGCAGTCTCCAGGACTTACTCCTTAATTAAAGATTGTGTCAGATCATGAACCTCCAGGAATAGGTCCAACTAAAATTGTCAACCATATCTCTTCCTCTCCTTTCAGTCCCATCTCAGACTCCTTTTCTATCTAAATTGAATTCCTTCCTTCCCCTTTGGTCTGACTTTTGGCATTTGAAGTGAACGACTTCCTCCTCTATGATGCTGGTGGGGGTCCAGCCAGCAGGGGTAGTGCATCACTGAGGCTATGTCTACACAGCAATGCCATTTCAGGATACTGGAATATCCTAAAATAGCTATCCCTCATCCTCACAGCAAGCCTGTTATTTCAAAATATAATGGGCTCACTATTCCGACATTCCTGTAAACCTCATTCCACGAGGAATAAGGGACATTTTGGAATAGTGGGTTATTTCGAGATTTGGCACTGCAAAGACAGCGCCAAATATGAAATAAGCTATTTTGAAATAAGATCAAAATAAGATATGCAATTTGCATCGTTCAAATTGTGTATCTTATTTTGAGCTATGGTTCAGTGCAGACACACCCTGAGAGCTCAGGGCCAACAGGCTGCTTAATCTCAGTTCCAGTGCCTGGCTCCTCCTTGTCTGGAGCAGCTGGTAGCAGTATCTAAAGAGAAAGTCCGGCTTTGTCTTTGGTGCCCTGATCTGGAGCATAATCAATTGTTCATGTGTTGTGAGATCAGCAGAAGGGATGGGGCAGAAAAGATGTACTCTGGAAATATTAGGCTGTTAAAAAGGTAAAAAGTGTCTAGGCATATCCAAACTATAATTTTTCAAAAGCTTATATCTTGTCCAAATTGGGATTTATGTTTTGGGAGGATGGCAGAAGGCATGTCCAGGATTCAATGGTCTCTCCCATCAAGTCCTTGCTCTAAATCAGAGGGCCTATAGCATTTCAGATAAAAGGTCTCCATTTTTTGTAATATGAACAAAATATATTTTTTCCTGGCCTTCTTCTTGTAACCAGCTCAACTGTTTGGCTGAAGTATTCCAAAATAAATTCAGCCTGATGCAAACACCCAGCAAAGAAAGTTTTAGACCAGCCCACAAAAAGTTACCAAAAATTATAAGCAACTGAGAACAAGGTCTTATAATGGGAAGCAACCAACCTTAATGATAGGGGAAAAAAACAGCCCTATCTATAACTTTGTTTTATAAATACAAAGAGGTTCATAACAGAGTATTCTACAGTGTCCTACATGCGCAATGCACTAAAGAAGGGTACGTGTGTGTGTAAACACAGAAGTTACAGGATAAACCTAAGTCTTCTTTGAAGCATGTTTACCTGTTGTAGCAGGGGACAATGGTTTCACTAATTCACACCTATATTATATTTTCCCATCTTAAAAATGTCATTTTGTTATAAATCGGATTTAAAAATGATGGTGCTACAAAATGACATCTCTTTCAACAAGGGCCCTCTTCCTCTGAATTCTACATAGCTGAGCATACTGACAACTCTCAATGATTCATAACCACTGAATAGTGAAGGCAGTACTTGTATTCATAGAAGGACACTACCCTGAGCTCTAAGCCAGCTATTTAAAAAAGCAGCTATAGTTACACTCAATGTTTCATTAAATCCCTTTTCTTGTTCATATTTAAACTTTACATTAAAAATACCAGCCCCTGACAAGATGGATAATACAGAAGTATAGCCTCTAAAATCAGTACTGTTTTCTTGCCTTCACCTGGTGCTTTTCATCTTAAAAATTGCTAAAAAAAAAGTACTCACTCCATATGTGCACAAACACTTACAAAAACCTGAAGTTTGTTCATTGTGCCAAATTCACTCAGTCATACTTCAGTGAGCTTAGTAGAGAGACACCAATGTAACTAAGAGCAGGTTTGGCCCATTTATATTTTAACCTAAATAAATATGAGCATGCAAAAGAAGAGCACACTTAACTATTAGAAAATAAGATTTTTAGCCAAAATCTCTTGACTAATCAGTACTCATTTTCATCCTGCAAAAAGCCTCTCAGCTGTTGCCTTGCTAGAAAAATTTGCATGGGTAAAGCACAACCAAAGCTCTTTACAATCTTTTACTCAAAGAAAGGGACATATGGGAATAACTTTGACAACTAATGAAATACAGCCACCCCAATGTGGGTCACAGTTATGTAGCAGCACCCTACAATAGCTTAAAATGGGAAATGAAGTTTGTAATACCAAAATGAAATACAGGCAGTCCCCGGGTTACATGGATCTGACTTACATCGGATCCCTACTTACAAACGGGTGAGGCAACCCCGCACTAGCTGCTTCCCCCCAGCAGACCAGGGAGACGCGAAGCTAGTGCCTCCCCCTGAGCAGACCAGGGAGACGCAGAGCGGCTTTTCTCAGCAGACACCTCAGCTTGAGAATAAAGGACTAAGGGAAGTGAGGTGTGAGAGAATAAAACTGAGCTCTGGAGAAATGTTTGGCTAGAGTTTCCCCTACAATATGTACCAGTTCCGACTTACATACAAATTCAACTTAAGAACAAACCTACAGTCCCTACCTTGTACGTAACCAATTTACAATGGCAAAACATAATTATTGAAGTTGGAATTTGTCCAGAATGGATTTAAAGCAATTTGATTAGTATTAAATGTCTGCTAAAAAGTTCTTTTCATTCATGGTTCCAGTAGGGAAAAAAAAAAAATAAAAAGGAGTTATGTGATTTTATGGCTGGTTTCATATGTTGAGGTTGATAAGAGTTCCAAGTGTACTGTACATCTGTGAGAGGATCCGGGATTATTCATGAGGCAGGAGCTTGAATGACATTGCAGTTAACATTTGGCATCACCTTCTCATTGGTCAAATCATTTCACACCCTTTTTAAACAAAGAGCTGGCACTAGATTGCACTATATTCCATAACTAACCGAGATTATGTCTTTTCAGAAAACCTCGTGTGCCATCAGGAAGCTCTGTAAAGGAAAAAGGTTTTCTTATGTCATAAAGGTGCAATAAAAGTATCATCGTACTTGAGTAAACACAGCGACACTTTAGGCCTAGACCTGCACCCCTTCGAGCTGGGGCAGTGAACGATGTGTCCCATTTGAGTCAGTGGAAGATTTTACCTGAAACAAAGCTCATAATATCAGGTCCTAAAAGATATATATAAAACAGACATATAGACTAGGTCAACAATGTTTTTAAATTTCAAAAAACACATTTAAGCAAGATTGAAAAGGAAACAATAAATATTAGGCATTAATTGCTCAATACCATTGTGCCATGGGGCTTCCAGAGTTTTCTTCTCTGTGTTACCAAAAGTACAATAAAAACACATTTCAACACAAACTCTTTTTTGAAAGTCCCTTAATGAAAATGTTCCAAAACCTTAACATTTCAGATAATACATTACCCAAGAATCACACTTGGAATTTTAATAAGCCAGATTTAAACTTACCACCAATTCAGCATACTAAAACAACTTGTATTTTTCTCACTTCCGCTCTGAATTCAGAGCAGTTGTTTTTATTGTGTTGTACATTAGGAACTTAACCTGTCTCCATGATTAAATAGTTGCAATCCCCACAGATATGCAAAGC